GGCACAACAAGCTCCACCCTAACTTAGCGTAGTGATGGGAATGTCTCCATGACATATTAATACTGCTCTTATTAATTTATATGTAATGTAATTTATTCATAAAAATTTAGAACCATAAAATATTTTTTTATTGACGGAAATATTCTTTTTATCCAAATTTTATAATATATAATTCTAATTATTTTATTATATTTTTATAGACTCATTATTCTATATCGGTATTTTAGAATTGGTTTATTATTAGATCACAATTAGTTGTGAATGAAAAATAATTTTATTCTGGGACTTAAGTCCCCTTAGAATAATAGTAGAGGTAAAAAAATATGTACATTAGTCTGGCATGTAGATATCATACAAATATATACAAAAAATACTTAAGAAATTGTAAATATATATATATATATATATTTTTCATTAGGAGTTTTCACTAATAGTGGGTTTCCTTAACCTAAGGTGCTTGGATTGCTTCTTTCCATAATGTCCCATCTAAGATCCATTCTTCCCGTAAACCATGACCCATCATGGATTCCTCCACTTCGTTATCCCAGGTCTTCCTAGTCTTCTTCTTTCCCTAATTTTCCATAAGTAGACTTCTTTGGATAGTCTTCCTTCAGGCATTGTTGAGAGAGTGGATAGAGAAGCGTAAAGTAAGGAGTTATAAGATGTAGGGTGGGTTTTTGGTTCTGAGGACTTAAAAAAGAAAATAAAAGGTTCTGGGGACTTAAAAAAGAAAAAAAAAAGAGGTTCTGAGGACTTAAAAAAGAAAAACACCAAGAAGGAATTGCCATGGGGAAGTAGGATATATCCACTTCAACTCAGTGTAGCAACAAGAAATATGAGAACGCTTGGGAATCGCAAAGATGAATCTTATGGAGCAATTCATAATTTTCTTCAGTCTCTCCTCCAGTCCTGTGGTCAGCCCTCCATACATCAGACAACCTTAGAAAAACAAGGGATGCTAAAAGGAGCTGTGTTTTTTTTTTTTTAATGGAATCACGGAATCAAAGGAATTGTTTAAGGATAGTTTTGGATTTACTTGTAATCTGGGAAATGTGGTTGTTCCAAGAGAGGTTCTGATCAAAGATCACTCTGAGGTTTTTGATTGTCGGAAAGAAATGGATGGGACGGTTATTGAGGTAAAGTAAAGGAGAGAAAGAAAGGGAACTAATAAGGTGCTTGGAGCCGATGAGGATTGCCTTGGTTTTGACTGTGTTTAGCTTTAGTTTATTTTTTTCCGCCCTCCTATGGATACAGCCAATATCCTCTTGTAGTTTTTGGGTAGCCTCGGGCATCTCAGATGGCTGGAACGATAAGTAAATTTGTAGATTGTCTCCATATAGGTGATAGTGGGAATGAAGAATGGAGTCAGGAAGGTCGCTAATATAAATGGAGAACAGAGTTGGAGAGAGTGAGGAGCTCTGATGAATGCCTCGTGTTAATTGAAGAGAGGAGGAAGGATATTTGTCAGGAATCACAACTGTCTGGGAGCGATGGGATAAAAAAGAGAGGAACCATTTCATAACGCTATTCGATATGGGTAGGCTTTGGAGTTTGGAAATGAAAAGTTGTAGTGTTGTATTTCACTGTACTATACTTAGTTTGATCTCTTTAGACTTTATTCTTATAGAGTTATGTTTATCTTTTACTAGTCTTTCTAATTATTGTTGTGATATAATCATCCTATGCTTGTCATATGTGCAATATATACAATGTTTGTCATATACTATTATTCTTATTTTATTAACCTATTTATTACCTTATATATTATTATCTCTATATATTCATATGTATATATAATCTTGGGAGTGGGATAGCTCAGTGATAGTGCGCTGAGATTCCAATGGTCAAGGTCCTAGGTTCAAATCTCAGCTTATGGTAGATGAATTAGTTATTCTGCTTCATCAGCCTTGGATCGATCATGGGTTTGGGAGACCCTCCTGAGATACACCGAGCCTCTATAAAGTGGGTAGCCTTAATCAAGTAATTAAGTAAGGGGGAAAACCTGGTGGTTGAGCATTTCCTCGGTCAAATCATCTCTTTGTACAACCGTTGGCTAAGACGAACTTTCCCTAAAAAGTACTTACCTAAGACCCTCCATGTGATTTACTGATACAGATTTTTTTTTTTTTTTAATATGTAATCTAACTATATCTTGATCTCATATTATTGTTATTAAACTATTTACTGTATTATTTATATCTTATTATCATTGGTTTCTTATTATTCTGACCTTATTGAATCCACACCTGAATATTTGAAATTGTTTTTAAAAAAATTTAATTTCATAAATTTAATTATTATTAATTGAATGACTGATATATTATTGCCATCTGGTCAGATCATATTGTTATTATTATAAAATAAATTCTAAACTCTAATTGTGGATGGTTTCGTTTTGACAAACTGAAACACTTATATAAACGTAAGTATCTATTTTAATTAAAATATATGGTTAAGTCTTTTAATATATTTAGATGCAAAAGTGGTATAAGTCATTTTCATAATAAATGGTTGATAATTTTTTGACTTGCTTCATTCAATAGCCTGTATTAAGTCCATTACAAAAACTGTTTTCTAATTGGTTCAATTACATATTTATTATGTATGCAGAAAAGGAATTGCAATAGAGTAAAAAAAGAAAGAAATGTATCTTCACGAGTAAATAAAAAATCTGGTGTAGTGTGTGCTTTTTTTTTCACCCCCTCCCAATATTTTGAAGGACAATAAAGGAAAATACAATCAATAAAAATGAATATGTAGCATTGTACACACTTATTTTGGGATTTCAATACCTTTGAAAGGGAGAATAAAGCTCTGTTTGCACTAGCTACACACTGGCCTATTACTATCGGTTGGTCATTCATTGAGGTTATTGTGGAGCCGAGGTATTTGAATTTTTCTACTCTCAGGAATGATTTTCCTTCTATGCAGATCCTGTTATTGGGATGAAATGTTTGGTAAATATGTATATATATATATTGTTAATACTTTTTAATAATAAAATTTTATGGTAACTCCTCCCTTTGGAAAATATATTAGCCATAATATTAATAGCCATATGTTTCCCATCTCTATAATCCATTCATCAGCATATTTCACATACACGTTTTTGATTCTATATCAATCTGACTATTATCTTATTTCATGTTCATCTAACCTTATATCCTCTCTTTACCATACAAGATCTGGATGCTCATCCCGCAGTTACAGATGCATTAGTATAGCACAAATTCTTCATATTCAATCATTCGAATATTTTCTTTTTATGACTCATAGTTAATTGTTTTTCGATAGGATAAACTACAATACAATTTCTTAATGAATAGTGTTGATAATATTGTTTTAATGAATTTATGTATACCTCTATGCACTATATACATAAATTCAAATCTTTTAATTTGATTTCCTTTATTTATTTTTTAAAGAGGTGGTTCCAATTATAGAACTCATCGCATTGTTTAGTGTTTTGGGAAAATGTATTCCCATCATCAGGAAATATATTCATTACTGTACAAACATTTATGAAATAGAATATGAAACCTATTGTTGGTCAAGATCCATGTTGTGCCCTGATTATGTTGTACAAACAACTGAACTACAAACATATTTGAAAAAAAGCAAAGGGAACACTACAAATATATAAAAAAAAAATAAGGATCTAACAATAGTGAACATGTTAATCTAATTATAAAGAAATGTGGTAAATGAATTATATACAATAATCACAAATGACACCTTCTCTTCCAAGTGCTTACTATCTAATTATACAATCACTTCTATATGACCTTTTCTTCTCTGTCTGACACTGGGCAGGGACCTCATCAGTAAATCCAATCTCTGCAGGATTCCCTCTAGGGTCTATCTTAGCTCCACTTCTGTACTTAATAAACACATAGGACTTACTGATAGAGGATGACCTATGAACTATGACTTTTGCCGAAGGTACTGCTATTATTACGAGAAACACAGACCTTATTCATGCTTCTCTGAAATTACAACACAATCTAGATAAAGTAAATGAATGGTGTAAGCAATGTAAAATAAAGCTTAACCATGGCGTCTCAACACGTTACATTTACACTAGGACGCAAAACCTCTAGCTTACATTGACAATCGTTCCATACCATAAACAAATACAGTAACGTACTTGGGTCTTTTTTTTTAACAGAAGATTAACATGGGGGTAACACGTAGAACAGTAAATTTCCGATTGAGACTGTTATATTCCATGCTACATAGAAGCTCTAAACTACCCATCAGGCAAAATCTTAATGTTTATACTTACTAACTTATTTATCCTGAAATCCATATGGACCTATGCTTGCCAAATTTGTGGACCTGCAAAAAAGACACACATTCAGAAAATACAAACGTTCCAGTTTCATTGTTTAAAACTGCCTGACACCGCCTTATATTTCGAACCAGATCCTTCACACTAACTTCCGTTTTGACTGCAACAACCCACATTGGAGTAAATTACAAACGGTTTCACGATAAACTACTTGGCTATATAAACAAATTTATACAACAAATGATGTACTTTGGCAAAGGCTGAAAAGGAGTTAGTTGAGGGATCTCCTAGAGTAACAATACAATTTAGCTCAATGTTAGGATGCATCGCTGGGTGCTATCTCCCTTATGCTATGATTTATATCAGCTCATTTGTTGATTGTAATAGTTTACAGGTGCAAATCAAATATTTGAGTTATAAAAAAAAAAAAAGAATTACATGGAAGTTAAATCGCCAACTTTGGCTACATGTTTAATAAAAATACGTCCCAATAAAAGAGATAACGAGTAGAAATTAATTGCATATATATAGTTTATTCTTTTGTCGAATCCATGTCTCTAGCAACCAGTTTTTTTATTATATTCGTGACTCCGTATTGATTTATTTTAATTTTAATCATTCTATAAAAATGGACTATTTGATGACAATTTGTATCTCAATGTCTCCGACCATTCCTATCCCAGAACAAATCGTTCATGAACTACGCATCCTAGTATGAACTACGCATCATTAGTTGTGTAGTAGGCAGTTGTGGATCAACAATGGATGATGCTGGTAAGAAACAATTATTAATTATTTTCTACTACTCGAATAATATTTTCTGATAACTCAACAAGGTATAAATAAATTATAAACGGGTTTAAAAAAAAATTTAATATATTATTCTGTGATTGTAAATTGGCTACCAAGAATAGCTCCTTTATTTTATTTTAATATCACTTCATTTCTGAGAAATTATTGTAAATAACCACCACCGTTTTTAAGAAACAAAAATTTTCTCTAATACAATTCTATGTTCTATTTAAGTAAAGACTTCTATTTCACTAGGTGTTTTAAATAAGTAAAGGCAAGAAAAAGTAGGTAGTATAAATTTATTAAAGCCTAGTGATCGAGTATGATCTCCAAAAAATCATCTTTTACAACCAATGACAAAAAAAGCAGTACTTACCATTAAGTTAACTCATGACCATGGGTTGTAAAAGTGCTGGTTTTGTATATATATTTTTGAATTGCTGTACTATCTAACACTAGTTACTAAACTTTGTTTATTTGAAATCATTAAAAAAAATAATACTCGGTTGTTTAATTATTAAATTTTCATTCATACAAAATTGTATTTATATATTGTTACTTTTCCAGGTGTTAGGAACTTAGGCGTCACTATAAAAAAAGAAGTTATTGATGAAACTGAGACTACTGGTATGTTTTTTTTTTGTAGTTTTATTTTAATTATTCTTGTGGTTTTAATCACGGAATGAAATTAATTTGAAGGTGCATAGAAATAAATATACTTTTTATACCTGTACAACAGTTCTGTTCCCGTTTTTGATTTAAATTATGTTTACCAATATAAGATGGGTGACAGGAAAAATAATAAATAAATACAATTGAGGTTCTACGAGTTAATAAATACTATCTACAATAAATATATTAACAATCTATTAATATTCACAATAAATAGTAACACAATAAAAAAAATCTATCAAAATAACAATGTAAATATTAATAACCTGCCTATAACCTTCGAACATTTCGTTGTATCTTCGAAGATAAAAAGATGGACATAATATAATAATAAAAATGAACATCCTATAATAATAAACATCTTTGACTACCGCTTTTTTATTTGAGTTGAAAAAAGAAAAGAAAATGTTCATAAAGAGAAGGAATATCAGTATTTCGATGTGATGCTCATCATCAAAGTCCCTCTGATATTAGATATTATTAGATTGAAAAGTAATAGTAATTAATACATAATTGATTAATAATAAATATCATATATTTATAATTACATCCCAGCAGGCGATGTTTTATAGTTTTATCAATAGTAATCAGTATTACTTTAATTAAAAAATACAAATCGATTTTTCAATGGGTTGATTTTAGTATTTACCTGACGATAAAATTTGTTGGATTCTTTAATTTATTTAATATCGTTTGGATTTAGGTATATTTGTATTTCGCTGTAAAATATTGCTGGTGGAATAAATAATCTTGTTACTTCAACCTTAAAAAAATAATTTACTATTGCATTGTTTCAGTTTTAAAGAATATTTGTTATAATTTTGCCAGACTTGAAAGAAACATTTGAAAAAAAATGTATCGACGTGACTGATACCATCAAAACAATGCTCTGATATGATAACATAACCTACAACCGCCGAGCCACCAACAGTTCCACTGCTTCGAGAGGAGTCAGATAGGACCAGCTTAGATATGACGTCATACCTAGACTGCCGAGCAGCGCCAGCGAAATAGGTTCCTTTCTATTCCACTAAAGCAGTCGCGGTCGTGGACCGCGCCAGCGAAATAGTACCTTAACTGAACTACCTGAGGTAGTTTAGTTTACCTGTGAAATGCATCAGTAAATGTGTTACCTGCTCATGGGGATTTATCCTAATAAAGGTGAATTCTTTGTTGTCTGTTATTTAACATATTATAGTGTTAATATGGGAGACCGTTTAAATTGATTCCTTCACCAGTTTTATGAACCTTCCTGTTTCCTCAACTCAGTATAATTACCAGTGATTGTTCACAGCTCCAATCCTCCAATATAGTCTCTCCCTTCCCTCACAACCAACCTACATAATAAAAATTGTTATTCAACTTTTCATATTATTTTATATCTATTTGTCTTCGGAAATAATTAACATTTACACTATATGGAAAGTCATCAATGGAATGAGATATTGTGTTTTTTAACTCCTAGAACATGATTTTGCAATTTTTAGAGTTATATTGACTAGTGTTTGACCATAATCATTGAAATTTTGAGGGAAACCTATAATTAAAAAAAAAACTGAATTGAATAAATAAAAAGTTAATCCATTCGAAAATCCTCATATATTAATAATAAAAAATTCAATTTCAATTAAAAATCGAGCTTAAACTACTTAAAATTATTTATAAACAATACAGAATAGACTCATTCAAAAATATTTAATTTATGTGTGTTATTATCACACTAAATTAATGCTATGATTGAGCAAGTAACAAATAAATTTAATTACCAATTTCAATTCAATTTAAATCAACGTATCTGTAAACAATGTTCAGTTATTGGTTAGTACATAGCCTTGCCCATTGTCATTGGGAATATAAATTTCAAAATTTTTAACGAATGTGCTCTACTTGCTGCCACTTATAATTGTCCGTTGGCTGAACCGTTTTGTGTTTGCCTATTTATATAGTGATTCTTTCTTCCTTCAAAAATTTTATCTTTATTATTTGGTTTTTTGATATCTCAACTCTGTAAATCTAGTTGTAGAGTCTTATTTATGGTTTAGCCATTATTATAATTATGTACATAGCTTAATCGAAAAATATATATTAAATAAATATTTTTTAAACAACCTATGCAGTAGGGAAAGCTGTTTGTGGGCATACACTATATACAGAATGTTTCAGGATTAAGTGGCTTCAGGGTCAAATAAATAAGTTTTATTAATATGACATAAATAATTCATAACAATGAACATCTTTAGGTGTGAATATCTCTTAAACAAAGCGTTTGCGGACATACCATCAGAGGAAATTTCTTTTTTTTTTGTTTTGAGGTCCTTGGTTCATGTTTTCAGTTTGGCCATTCAACCCTGAACCACCCTGTATATTAAATTTATAACTTTTTGAAATGAATAAATCATCGGGTAATAATTTACAAAGCTTTTATTTATCTATTTAACATCAGTGAAACACTTTATCGTTGTTTTTTTTAATCCAAAATAAAAGAAAAATAGAACATTTTCTTTCACTTTTGATCAGTCAGTTCCTTCTACCCAAATAAATATAAAATAATATGTAATATTATGTTGAATATTTAATAGTTGACCGTTCCATTATGAAGGAAGGAGATGGTCCGGGGTGGCGGTCATAAATAGCCTAAATAGTTTTGCTACTATTTAGCCTATTGATGACCGCCACCCCGTAATATTATATGTTTATTTTATTAACGCTAGTTTTATTTATATTATTTAAAATGCAGTGCTCAGATTAGGCTTTGATTCATAAATATTGTTTCCCTTTTTTGCTCTCCCAATCTTGGAATTTTCCTAAAAAGATAGTTTTTCACCAAAGTGGAAACGCTCTTCCTCATCTATGCTCATGCGTTGTGAGGTGTATTTATATTCTTGGATAGGAAAGCATCGAATTTTAACTGATTGTTCAATAATGGATGGCCCATGTCATATGACCAGGAGTCCTTTTCTTGTGTAGACAAAATTAAATTCGGGAATATTTATGAATAAAATAACCTTTGATGTAGAGATGGTTGACCGTGATAGAATATGAGAAGGAGTTGGTCAGGAGGTGTGGTCAAATAAATACTAAATTTTTAAAAAAAATATTAAAAATACTATTTTTTTTTTAAATTTAGTATTTATTTGACCGCACCTCCCGATCAACTCCTTCTCAAAATAAACTTTGATAATGCGGTTAATCCGATTTATTGTTATGAACGTGATTCATGAAAGTGAATCAATGAAGGGGCATTTTTTATTAATTGTGTTAGTTTAATGAACTAATTATAACATACAATAATGAGAGGGGGATAGTCTCAGGCCTGTAGATTCAATGCCTTATCTAGTTATGTGTGCCTGACCGCTCGCTGTCCCCGAAGTCAGTGCTGCCACCTCACGTGTTCCCTCAATTGGGGGCTGTTGAAGATCTATTATGTAGGATCCTTTTGGGCCAGGATTGTGTGTCTAGTTTCCTTGTCTTCAAGTGATAAAGTGAGGGTGCTTATCAGGAATATGAACTTGAAGCTTTGCCATCAGAGAGAGGAGTAAAATAATACGAGACCGGTGGCCCGTGCTTAGTATATACAAATGAATATTTAAAATATACAATAACTAGTACAATTAAATTACTAGAATGTAAATCTGACACTGATGTTCTTTAACCCTTATAGAACTGGGTTATGTAATTATTAAATTTCTAAACATACAAAATTATATGTGTATATTTTTACATTTTCAGATATGAGTAACATGTGCGTCTCTATAAAAGAAGAAGTTACTGATGAATATGACCTTACTGGTATGTTTATTTTTTATTTGGATGCTATATATTGCCTTTTTTTTTAGTTTTATTTTATTGATTCTTGAGATTTTAATTATCGTAGGAGATTAATGTTATAGCTCATAGAAATAAATGTGCATTTTATCCCTCCTCATTCTATCTATCTATCGACTATGATCCACAAACTCAATTTTTGGCCTGCTTCAGCAACGACTGTTAGTTTTCTCTAGAGTGCTGCTACTTTCTAATTACTGATATCAAGTGCAGCTCATTTTTTTTTTTTTGTTCTTCCCTACCTTGCCGTTTAGGCTATACGGGATTTTCCGGGGCCAGAGGGTGAGGGCGGGCGGGGAATTTAAAATCCACTCTGGAACTCGTACTTTTCTTGTCTCTCAAAACTTCATATATCTGGTTGCCGGGCAACTCGCGGTGCTGTGCACACGCTTTAGCCCATTCGGCTACCCCGCCCCCAAGTGCAGCTCGGTTATCTGAAGTGATGCATTCCTCACAGCGAAGCCACGGTCTGCCTTTGCTATGAACACCATTAATTTAGTAGGAATATTTTTCTCTCCCATCCTCACAAGATTATTATTTTTTTTTTTTTTTTTTGCAACATCATTAAAGTGTGTTCCGAGACACCGGTAGCCTGGGAAACTCTTTTCATAATAAAGAAAACATGGATTGGACAACTCCCAGCTTTTGTTTTCATGAATTTAAATATGTTCATAATTACAGTTCTGGTCTAAGAGTGGATAGTTTTCCCTCTACCCAGTTTACTTGACATGGTAAATTTATAACATTATGATAATAATGGAAAAGTTTTGAAAAACTCTTAAAAGAAATTTCGGTTCTAGTTCACATGAGTTCCGTATGGATTACGCTTGGTTCACAATCACTTCGATCACACTTATTCATAGAATCCTGAAAACAGCCGAATATTGCCGACTTTTATGACGTCAACTATTGTCCCCACTACACAGTCCCTTTTCAAGCATTTAAAAAAAAAAACGTATTCCCATCATTGAACTTCCTTATTAATAATTTATTAACGAATTATATATTTACTAATTTTTATTATAATGGTTATTAATCTGAAGTAAAAAAAAAAAAAAAATATATATATATATATATATATATATATATAATGATGTTTGACTAGTCCTTCAAGGCCTGTTAAAAAAAAAAAATTAACCATTTAAGTAAATGGTCAGTGAAACAACTAAAATTAATTTAACTCATGATATTCCATCCTTGAAAAATTAGGCTATTTAATTGTATTTTCAAACAAGAAAACATTTTTATAAGTTCTAATTGTTTTTTTAGATATCAGTAGCTTGGGTGTATCCATTAAAGAAGAAAGAACAGATGAAAATGTCCAACAATATTTGTCTTTTGGTAAGTTTTCCTGAATTTTCATTTTAATTTTTTAATGTTATTTCATATCAACTATATCTTACAGTTTTTCTTATTGCTGATTAATTCTATGGATGAGAAGAAATTAATAGATTTCATATATTCTTGTTTTTTTCTATTAATGTTTTTTAATTTTAGTTTCTGTAAGTTTGATTCAGTAGTATGGCTGCGATGTTACAAAAGTTTGTTAGTCTTTATATCCTGTATTTGTCTTAATTTATATATTTTTTTTAAACATTGACTGTTTATCTTATTCTTCTTCTTTAATCTCACATTTCACCCAGATCAGGTATTCTCCATTATTAATAATAATAATAATAATAAGGCTTAGCGAACCCGAAGGTTCGATGCCGACACCACCAATCGCTTGTTACACACCTCCCTCCACCGTTCGCCGTCCAAACCCAGTCCCTTCAGATCGGCTTTAATGCAATCTTCCCACCTTCGCTTCGGTCTACCCCTCGGACGCTTACCATTCGGCACAGCAAATATTAACCTTTTAGGAATTCTCTCGTTACTAAGCCCAACAACTTTACAAGCCCATTTGATTCGCCGCGATGAAATTACCTCAATTATATTACCCGGATACAGCTCACGCAATTCAGCGTTGTGTAACCGTCTGAACTCTCCGGTTAACTCATCCTTCTTCGGTCCGAATATTCTACGCAATACTTTATTTTCAAAAACCTTAAGACGCTGCTCATCCCTTAATGTAAGCGGCCAAGTTTCGCATCCATAAAGAACTGTAGGCAAGATAATCGTTTTATAGATTCTAATTTTTAAGGCCCGGGACAAGAGGCGCGAACTAAGTAGTTTTGTCACAGAAAAATAACAAGCATTCCCCGCCTTCAGTCTAACCTTAATCTCTTCTTCAATTTCGTTTTTTCTAGTTATCGTAGAACCTAGATACCTAAATTTATCTACCTGTTCAAACATATTACCATGTATATCGATATCACCAGTAGTATCGCCATTTTTGCAGCTAACCATATATTTTGTTTTATCCACGTTTATTTCGAGTCCTAGTTCTTTACCGGCTTTCATTAACGTTGTCGTATTTAGTTTTATAGTTTCAACGTCTTCGCTTAACAGTACCAGATCATCAGCATAGCCCAGCACGGATGTTGTCCCGCCCAGATCCAACCCTTTCTCGGTTCGCATTACCTCCCTAATGGCATGTTCTAATGCCAAATTGAACAGGACAGGCGAAAGAGAATCCCCCTGTTTTAAGCCCGAACGAACCTCAAATTTTTCGGACAAATTATTACCGATTCTAACTTTATTGAGTGTCTCCGTCAAGCACATCCTGACTAGATTTACTAGTTTTTTTGGAATCCCCTGCTCGATTAGAATATTATACAGTTTCTGGCGGTCAATAGAATCGTAAGCCTTTTTAAAATCTATATACAGCTGGTGAACAATACCGTTATACTCCAATTTTTTCTCTAATATTTGCCGTAAAGAAAATATTTGATCAATCGTCGAACGATTCCGTCTAAATCCGCATTGGTAGTCTCCGATAATTTCCTCGGCGTATTCCGTGATTCGACTGGTTAAGATTAAAGTGAATATTTTATAACATACCGGAAGGAGTGAAATTCCTCGATAGTTATTACAATCCGTCCTCGGACCCTTTTTGTGAATCGGAATAAGAATAGATTCTTTCCATTCTTCAGGTAATTTCTCGTTCACCCAGATCTTTTTAACCAACCGATGTATTTTAGAAACTCCAGCTTCCCCGCATGCCTTAATTAGTTCAGTAGGAATATTATCGATTCCCGCTGCTTTATATGATTTTAATTTTCCGATAGCTACTTCAACTTCCTCTTTACTTGGTCCTTCTATTAACGGTTCAGCACTCTGGTACTCAGAAGGAGGACACAGATCATAATTTCTCGTATTTAAAATATTGTCAAAGTGGTCCTTAAACTTATTCAATATGTCAACCGGATCGGTCAGAATATTGTTATTATCATCCCTAATTCCAGACGTTACGGGCCCTACATATTTACGTGATCTGTTTATACCTTTGTACATGTCTCTTACGTTATTTTCGATTCTATTAGTTTCTATTTCAATTATTTTGTTTTTAAGATACTCCCTTTTTTTATTTTTGAACAATTTTGTCGTTTCGTTCTTTGAGATTCGGAAGTATTCCAGATTATCTTCGCTAGGATTATTTAGAGCTTTTAATTTAGCGGCTTTTCTTTTTTCACACATGTTTAAGCAATCTTCATCAAACCACGGTTTGTTATTCTTATTTTCCTTTTTTCCTAGACACGAGTTACCGACCGCTTTAATATTATCCCTGATCTCTATCCATAACTTGTCAATATCCTCGTGGTCCTCGTCAGGAAGCTCTAAAGCTTCAAACCTATTCTTAACATCTAGCTCGAATTGGTTTCTAATTGATGGATTTTTTAATTTTTCCAAATTAAAATTCTCAAAATCGAAACGGTTTTCTTTTCTCTTTTTTATATTAAGTTTTTGTCGAAGTTTCGCGATTACTAATTCATGATCCGACCCACATTCTGCTCCGCGATAAGACCGTACATTAATTATACTGCTTTGCCAGCTATGTTGTATCAAGACATGATCGATTTGATTTCG